AGCATCAGCCTTGCTATTAATAGCCCAACACTTAACCTAAGCTAACACAGACAGCCTAAATGCCTTGCCCAGACTCTCATAGCTACTGGTGGCAGGGTGAGGATTAAACCCAATCATATCTGCATTCAGTGATGTTATCTGCATAATCCATTCTGAAAATTTAGTAGCAAACTTTCATTTCTCTTTATGGTAGAATTAGGATATACTACTGCATATGTAAGGAGCTCTGGTAGCGTAATGGTTACGAATCGGGCTGTGAACTGCAAGGTCAGCAGTTCGATACTACCAGCTGTTCTGTGGAAGAAAGATGAGGCTTTCTGCTCCCGTAAAGATTTATAGCCTCAGAAACCCTGTACAGGGTCACTGTGAGTTATAACCGACTCCACAGCACATAACCACCACCACCACCACTGCATTATGTATGCTATATTTGTATTCATATTTCTATGTTGTTGTTGTTAAGTGCTGTCGAGTTGGTTCCAATCCATGGCTACCCTGTATGGGGTTTCCAAGGAGCAGCTGTTGAGCTTGAACCATCGAACTTGCGGACCAAACTGACTTTGCAATGTTTTATATTTGTTTGTTGTTGTTAGATGCCATTGAGTCAGTGCTGACTCATGGTGACATTATTATGTACAGAAGAACAAAACACTGCCTGATCCTGGGCCAACCTCACTATTGTTGCCACGCTTGAGCCCATTGATGCTGTCACTTTGCCAATGCATCTCGCTGGGGGTCTTCCTCTTTTTCTCTGACCCTCCACCTTACCAAACATGAGATCCTTCTCCAGCATGACCATAATTGCTACTCAACATGTGTTCATTGAAAAATCACGTCTATTTTTAGACAATTTAGATAGTTAATCGATTCAGAGAAATATCTACAATAGCCAATTTAAAATTTTGATTTTGACTTAATATTTACAAATATAGCTGTTAGTTTGCCTTCAAAGGGAAAGACATTTTACCAGCATGCCTATTGCAACTAATTCCCCAAATGATAATCAACATCCATCACAATTAGTGGTATTTTACATAAATACTATATTAGCAATGTTAAACATGGTCCCCTATAATTAACACCACACTGAATGTAAATGTGAAACTGGATATAATGTGCTATAGGAAACTGATGGTAGAGTTGATGCTTAAGCAATTTCAAGTAATAAAATCACTAATCGATTTTGCATTGCTCATTCTCTGCAAACTAGCTGTAAAAGTTCCCATGAAATGATCTGGAACCTTTGGTTTCTGCATGATAGCTATTAATTAAGGCTGTGCTGGAATTACTCTTGATTAGTAAAGTGCAGCAAATGCGAATCTATTACAAGGAAGTGATCAGAACCTGCCATCAGAAAATGTACTGGTGACTGGGACCCATCACTCCACCCTCATTAACTGCTGCATCCCCACCCAGATAAACCCACGGACCCTTGCCTGGACCACTGCAGACTTCTCAATATGGACTCCCTTCTGAGTCACTACCAGCTTCCACTCTTGCAAGGGAGCTTTCTTGGTTAGGTTGTGAAAGCTAGCATTCTGACGCTGTTGGCCCACAATCTCCATGTGGCTGGCACTCTGTCTGCTCCTGGTCCCTCTGTCCCTGGGACCACTGAGGACCCCACATTCCAGACAGATGCCCTGTCTTTTTCAGCCTGACTCCCAAAGCTCTGTACTAAGAGCTGACACTGCTCAGATTCATCTTTCCTTTCCTTTTTGTTGAAATGTCATTGTGGCCATTCAAGTTTAATATCTTTTGTTTTTATCTCTGAAACCTTTACAGCAGGCTTTCCTTGGCTCCTCTCTGGATTCTTGGGCTAAACGACTCCTATTGCATATCTTTGGAATCCCTGGATGGTACAAATGGATAACAAGATTGACTGCTCACCCAAACCCTGGAAGTTTGACTTCACCTAGTAGCAGCTTGAAAGAATTACTTATGAAAAGATTGCCGTTGAAAACTCTGCAACATTTCTACTCAGACACATCGGGTCATTTGGAGTTGGAATGACTTGGGGCCAGCTTGGCTTCCAGGAAATGGATCTGAACCATAAAATTCCCTGCTTAAAGTGCTTCAAGGACTCAAGCTTAGCTACCTAAGTTGGTCATAACAGAAGTGGGTGGCTTTAATAAACAGAAATGTATTGCCTCACAATTCTGGAGACTAAAAGTCCAATTAAGGGTTTCAGAAAGCGCTACTTCCTCTGTGAGCCTCTCCTGGTTTCTGGTGACTACAAATCTGGAGTATCTTCCCCAGATAAAGCAACAGTGCTTTTAGAGCTAAGAAGTGATTAGGTTTAGGACCTCATTA